AAAAAAAAAAAAAAGATATACAATCACACACACACAGCTACCAGTTATCCAAATTAGAAAGGTAAGAGGTAGACTTTTTTTTTCTGGTTTATACTATAAATATTACTTAATGGTTTAGTATTTACCTATTAATTTCAATTCTAAAATTTTAGCTTAGGGGTCAGCAAAATTTTTCTGTAAAGGGCCAGATACATATTTCAGGCTTTGTAGGCCACATGTGTTCTATCACACATTCTTGTTTTTTATTACAATCCTTTAAAAATGCAAGAAACATTTTTAGTTCAGAGCAACCCAGGGGCAGGCGGGGGGTGGGGGGAGAGGTGGGCAGATACAGCCTGTGAATCAGTTCCCCAATACTGCTTTAGCCTAAGGAACAGTCAAAATTATTGGAAAAATTTAATGACTTTGTTCATTTTGCACTCTTTTAAAAATCTAAAAGCAGACTACAAACCAACAATAGTAGAATACTAAGGCAAATAGTGTAGACAGTGTTATGTCCACAGGACACAACTTTACGTAGCTACTAAAATAGTATTCAGAAACAATTTTGGTCAGGTGTGGTAGCTCACACCTGTAATCCTAGCACTTTGGGAGGCTGAGAGGGGAAGATCCTTTGAGCTCAGAAGTTTGAAACCAACCTGAGCAAAAAAGCAAGACACTATGTCTCCTAAAACTAGAAGGAAAAAAAAACAACAGCCATGCATGGTGGTATAAGCCTACAGTCCCATCTACTTGGGAGGCTGAGGCAGAAGCGTCACTTGAACACTGCAGTATGAGGTTACAGGCAGCTATGATGACGCCACTGCAATCTACCCAGAGACAGGGAGACAGAGTGAGATTCTGAAAACAAATACTGTTTAATGAAAGGTAAAACTGTTGTAAAATTGAGGCTGGGCACCTTAACTCTAGCACTTTAGGAAGCCACAGCAGGAAGATTGCTTGAGGCCAGGAATTCAAGACCAGCCTAGCCAACATAGTGGGATCCACGTAAAAAATAAAAAAGAAATTAGCTGGGCATAGTGGCACACACCTGTAGTTCTAGGTGCTACTCAGGAGGCTGAGGCAGGAGGAGTTCAAATGTCCAGTGAGCTATGATCATACCACTGAACTCCAGCCATGGCAACAGAGCAAGACCTTATCTCTATTAAATAAAAATAAAATTAAGTAGGCTCGATGCCCATAGCACAATGGTTACAGCACCAGCCACATACACTGAGGCTGGTGGGTTAGAACCTTGCCAGAGCCAGCTAAACAACAATGACAACTACAACAAAAAATAGCAGGGCTTTGTGGTGGGTGCCTGTAGTCCCAGCTACTTGGGAGGCTAAGGCAGGAGAATCGCTTAAGCCCAAGAATTTGAGGTTGCTGTGAGCTGTGACACCACAGAACTCTATCAATGGTGACATAGTGAAACTCTGTCTCAAAATAAATAAATAAAAATAAAATTAAGTAAAAAACACTATACAAAACCAGAAGAACTGCACAATCTCAACTATAAGGAAATATATATATATATATAATCCAAATTCTGTTTAAAGGAGGGAAACTGGACCCATATTTAAACTCAAACCTCTTCCCCCACCCCAAGCCATAAATCCAAAGAAACAAAGAGAGTAAGAACACAGAACACACTTTAAAAGCTGGAAAACAAACAGAGAAGGACTGATGTATCAGGCTGGAGAAAGCAGAGTTCTAAGCCAGCAGAGGGAAAGCCCAAAAGCTACTAAGGTATTCTACAGAAACTACAAAAAGTACTCGGGACTCAGAAACCGATGACACCAGGTAAGAGGCAGGGGTGGGGGATGATTTGAAAATTTACTTAGGAAGCAGTCAAATCCCCATTTTCCTTACCCCTCTGCTGTGGCAGAGACCCACTTCTTTTCCATTCTGGCAGTGGCTTAGAGGTTTGTTCTACACAGACAATAAAACAGCACGTCTGTGGACTGGGACCCTGATGCACACTGTGATTCAGTAAAGGAAATACTAAATCCTGAGCCCTTAGCCCTCTTCCCCTACTTGGTTCCCAAAGCACCAGCAGCCAGGATTTCAAAAAAGAGAAAATCTAGTAAGAAGAAAAAAAATATCAATTCAAGAAAAATTCCTGGAATCATGAGTGCTCCTGCTGAAAAGGTCTGGGACCACATACACCAAGGCATGATGCTATGAAATTCAACACACCTGCCCTCCAAATGCAAAAGTCACTTCCACGTCCTCTCTAAACGGTATGAAAAGAAATACAGGTCTAACCTGTCACCAGCAACCATACCAAATCATCAGTTTCTCCAAAGTCACAACTGCAGAACATCCCTGCATGATGTTAGTGTTGACTGCAGAGGCTCACGAAACTTGAGAAACCCAGGGTCAGGTTCTTTGATGAAGGTCACCTCTACAAATCTCCAGCAAAGAAGCAGTTTTTTCCAAATTTTCTTAACCAAGAAATATTTTTTACTTCAAGGGTCCCACGCCTGGTGTGGTGGCTCACGCCTGTAATCCTAGCACTCTGGGAGGCCAAGGCAGGTGGATTGCTTGAGCTCACAAGTTTGAGACCAGCCTGAGCAAAAGGGAGACCCCGTCTCTACTAAAAATAGAGAAAACTGAGGCTAGAGGATCGCTTCAGCCCAAGTTGGAGGTTGCTATGAGGTATGACAGCACGGCACTCTAACCAGGGTGACAACTTGAGACTCTTATCTCAAAAAAAAGGGTCCCACAGAATAATCTTTTGAGAAATTCTCTTTTAGATTAATATAGCTTCTCTCACTTAGAGATCTCGATTACCTTAGTCCTTCCAGCATTATTATTATTATTTTTGAGACAGAATCTCACTACGTCACCCTCAGTAGAGTGCTGTGGCATCACAGCTCACAGCAACCTCAAACTCTTGGGCTTAAGCAATTCCCTTGCCTCAGACTTCCAAGTAGGTGGGACTACCGCCACAACACCCAGCTATTTTTTTTGCACTTGTCATTGTTGTTTAGCTGGCCCAAGCTGGGTTTGAACCTGCCAGCCTCGGAGTATACGGCTGGCGCCATAACCACTATGCTATGGGCACCTTCCAGCATTATTGAAAGAGAGTAACAGACTAGAAAAAAAAATATTTTCTGAGAGAACAGAAGCATTTGGGCTCAAAAATCTCATATTCTACTAACTCATACATCAAATCCCTCACCAGAGTGACTAAGTCGCATTTTTGGTTCAGACAGTAATGAGTGAGAATCTATCACGTTTCCCTTCTTACAACGTCTACCTGAAAGATCAGAGCTCAATTAGAATAAACTAGTTTAGATTTCTGAGATAAACAGTCCTTCTTCCTCTGACACTCTCAAACCTTCACCAGCCATCATACTGGTTTTATCAAATGTTAATTCTTTTTTTTGAGATAGAGCCTCAAGTTGTCACCCTCGGTACAGTGCAGTGGCATCACAGCTCACAGCAACCTCCAACTCCTGGGCTCAAGCAATTCTCCT